GCCGAGCGCGCTGTGGAGAAGCGGCCGTGTGGGGCCTGTGTGTGGCGGACCGCTGTCCAGGTGCGAGGAGCGGCTAAGCGAGCGCTCCCGGGAGAAGCCGGCGCGGACGCCTGAGGTGAAGCCCGGTGGCGGCGGGCGGCGGGTCCCGCGCGGCTGTGAGCGGCGGATGCCTGGCTCTCGTCCGCTCCTGAGGGCGATCTCAGGACTGCGGCGTCCGCGGTGGGAGCGGCCTCCCCTCCCAGCTGCCCGCGCGCTTGGCGGGTGGAGACGAAGGCGCGGCGCGCGCCGAGCCCCCGGCCCCGAGTCCTGGCTGGCCCTCGGGCCACCCCCGTCTCCCCGCTCGGTGGAAGCCGGCGGGTTAGGGGTCGGAGAACACGCCCGGATGCGAAGCGGGCAGGTGACGTCGGCTTCTAGTCCAAACACGCGGGGACACAGTAACGTAGAAACACGCAGAACACCTTAGAGTGTGGACGTCCGCGTAGAGCGCGGCGAGTGCAGACGCGCGGGTGTAATTATGAGAGATATATACCCACGTCCTGCAGTGACGCAAAAATGAATTCCCCCCAGAGACTGGCTTACGTTAGAGTTCGTGCTTGGTGTTGGACATTCTGTGGGTTTGACAGATGCCTAAGGACACACAGGGTTACAGGATCCTTCAGAGCAGTTTCACTGCCTCGGAAACTCCCTACCCACCACTCACGCCTCCCTCCCGCAACTTTAGATGGTGTGCTGTCTCTATAGTTTTGCCTTTTCCAGAATGTCATAGAATTGGAATCTTCAGAATACATTTTAAAACAGAGTGGATAGGGAGAGTCGCATTTCACCTCAGGGTTTCAAAGGGACCGCTTTCAATCCCTGTTTGCCAAGCGCTGGACTTATTATCTATAAGGTGCAAAAGTGTGAGGAGGGCATGAAATGATAAACTTTGGGAGATGGTATTTGAATGCAAGTCATGCATGTTTCCTCTTTCTTTCCTCCCTCCCTTCCTCCCTCTCTTCCTCCCTCCCTTCCTCCCTCCCTCCCTTCCTTGCTTGCTTCCTTCCTTCCTTTCTCTCCTTCCTTCCTTTCTTTTTCTCTCCTTCTTTCCTTCCTCCCTCCCTCCCTCTTTCTCTTTCTCTTCTTCATTCTTTTTTTAAAAACAGCTTTTAGTTAGAAAATTTGAAACTACCTTGAAAGGTTATTAACAAGCGTTCTTCTAGAATTTCAAAATACAGGGAGTGCCCTGGTGGTCTAGTGGTTAGGACTTGGCCCTCTCACTGCCGTGGCCTGGTTCATTCCCTGGTTGGGGAACTAAAATCCCACAAGCCGCACGATGAGGCCGGGAAAAAAAAAAAAAAAACCTTAAAAAAAGTGAAAAATTTGCTGAGTTCCCATTGAAGCAGTAAAAGGACTAAAATCTACTTTTTTGAATTGGATTTATAAAGATAATTGAGTGACTGTTCCCCTCTGTGAGAGATGACCAATTTTGTCAAAGTTTGTTAAAAAAATCTTTGGTTTGTGCTGGGGCTACTACAGAGAAGTCCTCTTTATGTGGTTATTTCTATACATGGAAATCCCCCCAAACTTTCATCACATAGTAAAATAGCAAATTATAGGACCATCATTGCTGAGCTCTTTGAAAGCTCTATTTATCTAGAATAGCAGGATATAAACTGTACTTGTTTCTATAATTTAAATGCTGGATATAAATGTAAAATTAGCTGTTAACTAAAATTCTATTTATCCAAAAAGTTAATTATAGCAATAATTTCACATTACAGCCCTATCATCATAGACCCCACTCTGTGATGAGGGAGAATGACAGCACACAAGCAACAATTATGAATTAGGAATGCTAAGAGAGGGAATAGAGGCTGGGGGATACTTGAAGGAGGGTAGTAGGAAAGTCTTCTCCTTGAGATCCAAAGAATGCTGAAGATCCTGTCTTGGGAATATGTGAGGGTGGGATTGGAGAGGATGCTCAAGGAAGAGGAAACCAGGTCTGCTCACTCTGGCCTGCTCAGAATTCGAGACAATGGCATCAAAATCAGAAAGTTGGTGGGGTTTGCCCTGAGGGTCTGACTGACAGCCTCAGCTGACCTGTGGGTCGGTCAGACACCTTCTCAGAGCCAGCAGCTAGCAATGCCTCTTCCTTGTCTGGGTCCAGAGTCCCCTTCTCTTTTTCCAGAGCCACAATGAGAGTAAGGACCAAGCAGTGCAGCTTTGTCCTCTGGAGGAAAGCTCTAGCAAGTAGGAGCATGAGGGGCTTGGGCCCTACCATGCCCTCATGAAACCTAAAGCAAGGGACCAGGAAGGCCCTGGGAGGAATTGACCAGGTCAGGCTGGGCTCTGGTCCAGGCGGGAGGTTGCCCTTCAAAAGTAGGAGGAGGGCACAGAACTCAGGGAAGGGAACTTGGGAGACCTGGGCTGGGGGGCTGTCAGAGATGGTCATGGTGTATCTAGTGTCTGTGGTATAGGGTCAGCCTCATAGTAGACACTCCACAACTATTACCTGTTACATTGCCATCATGTTACCTTAACCAGACTAGGTTCACCACCACCTCTTCTTTCCTTTTACCCTTATCAAGTATCTGAGTCAGTGGCCTTGAGGCTGTATACATCTAGTCCCACATCTGGCCCTCTGTTTTCATTGCTGCTCTCTGAGCCACCCCCCATCCTGATTCAGGGCCTGATACATATCAGACACAACCGACGCATGTTGAATGAATAAACTATGTATAAAAACCAGGTAATTGCAGTACTCTAGATGAGGAATGACTGAGCCTTGGGCTGAGGAGATGGCATTGGAGATGGAGAAAAGGAGACATTTAAAATATATTTGGAAAGTAGAAGGGACAGTAGTTGCTGTTGAATGGTATAATTTCTGTATCACCATATTGAGCTCTTTATTTCATGTTAATTTTGTATTTCTCAAAATGTCCATGTAGAGAAGCAAGTTGTCATTTTTTTGGTAGACAGACACTAAGGTATATCACCATATATTTTGAATAATAGTAGAAAGTGAAGGAACTTCAAAGAGTTCATGTGATATTACTTGTAAGTCAATAACTACCAAGAGATATTAAGGGGTAAAAATTTGAACAACTCAATATGTAGATGGATAGTGTTTTTACACAAAATGTGGCTACTGAATAGTTCTTCCTCTCTAACCTCAAGTGTGTAGCACTTGACAGGCTCTCAATAAATGTTTGTTGAGTGGATGGATGAATGAATGAATCCATCAGGGTTTGTCAAGAATTTCAGAGACTGAAATTGCATAGTAAGCCAGATCAGACTAGGCTGAAGAATAAGTAGGACCTTAAAGCTGCTTAATTCCCCATTGTTTATTCTGGCTTGAATGCAGAAGCTGCTACATTGGATAAGAATGAAAAGCAGTGTTCTCATCTGTCAAGAGCCTGTGAACATCTAGGCACCTTACATACATTATTTTGAATTCTCACAACAACCCTGTAGGGTAGATGTTATCCATATTTTGTGGATGAAGAAATTAAAGCTCAGTAATTCAAAACATTTGACTACAAACTAGTGGCGCTGGAATTCATAATCATATTTGACTAACTCCACAGTCTTCCTGAAACGTATTATGCGACATGTCCTGAAAGTGCAGCCTGTAGCTGAGGGCATTCACTGTTAAAGAGGCCACATAATATGAAGTGAAATGGAGTAAATCTGCTAGTTTGGTGTAGCTGACAGTTGTTATTACACTAAAACCTTTTCTAGTGGTGAAATTGAGGGACAAGCCACCATTTCATTTATTTGTTTTTTGAGTGCTTTTTATGTGCAAGGTAGCATTGAAATGCACATACAAAAAATTTGTAAGATGCTACCTCTGCCCTGATGGAGCTTACTTACCATCCAGAGGTGAGGATAAAGTACTACCTATCCCCTTACACAGTGTAACTAAATGCATGATTCAAGGTGGTTACAATAGAGTTTTGCTATGGTTTTTTTTTTTTTTTTTTTTCCTTGCGTTATGCGGGCCTCCCACTGTTGTGGCCTCTCCCATTTGCGGAGCACAGGCTCCGGACGCGCAGGCTCAGTGGCCATGGCTCACGGGCCCAGCCGCTCCGCGGCATGTGGGATCTTCCCGAAACGGGGCACGAACCCGCGTCTTCTGCATCGGCAGGCGGACTCTCAAGCACCGCGCCACCAGGGAAGCCCCTATGTTTTTTTTAAGTAGGCTTTATGGTAATAAATATTTAAATCTGCAAATGTCCCATTGAATCATTTCTCATCTGAAACTAAATTTGCAGGGTGCTCAAATATTGCTAAATTATTTTTTTGAAAAGTGAAAGTTAAAAATTTAAACCTAACTATATCATTCAAAACTTTTAAGAGGACATTTTGAAACATGCTTTTTACAGGTTGAATCTAAGTTGCATTTCATTGTTGTAACATAAAGTTTTCCCAAAGAATGAGTAGAATATCCAGTACTTTCCTAATAAATTCTTTTTTCAGTCTTAGAATTTTTCAAGGTTTATTTCAGTTGTTTAATTTATACATCTAAGTTATATTTTCTAATATGCAGATAAAAGAATGGCTAACTCCATTGCATCAAAGAACTTTACTGCACTTTCAGACCTGCATCCAAATATGGCTAATCTGGTAGGTTTCAGCGGTGTAGTGGTTCATTTGATCTCTGTTGAAACTTTAGGTGGTAATATTACATTATGTCAACATTATTGATTCGTTTCAACATGTGCTGGTATAATTGACAAGTATACAGATACTGCATTAGTGATTGTTAGATATTAAACACTCCTAAACTTCTTTGTATTTATGCCAGCTAAATGAAAATTAGTCTTTCTTTTGTCTATGGATTAGGAGATTGTAGATATGACTAGTGATTGTTAAAAATTATCAAAAGTTTACTTGTATTATATTTTACTTTATTTATTTTTGGCTGCATTGGGTCTTCGTTGCTGCACAGGCTTTCTCTACTTGCTGTGAGCTGGGGCTACTCTTTGTTGTGGTGCATGGGCTTCTCATTGTGATGGCTTCTGTCGTTGCAGAGCACGGGCTCTAGGCACACGGGCTTCAGAAGTTGTAGCTCGCAGGCTCTAGAGCACAGGCTCAGTAGTTGCGGTGCATGGGCTTAGTTGCTCTGCGGAATGTGGGATCTTCCCGGATCAGGGATCAAACCTGTGTCCACTGCACTGGCAGGCGGATTCTTAACCACTGCGCCACCAGGGAAGTCCTTGTACTGTATTTTAATTAAATATTTAATAAGTACTCAAATTTAGCATTATAAAATTAAAACATTGTCGTTCAGCAGTATCTATTCTCTAGTCAAATTGCCCAAGTTATATACTGAAATACTTGCTATTATGCTGCTTTTATGACATAAAGGTACACAAAAGATATATTTCTGAAATCATTATGTGAAAATTCATTTTGGAGGAAGGGATTGTGGGGGAATCAGTCATGTCAACTATGCCTAGATTGTTAATTATTTAAAAGAAATCTAGGTGGAATCATCTTATAAGGTGAAGAATTCATTGTAAAGCAATTATCATACTGCCTTACTTTTCCTACCCCCAGCAGTCTGCTGTTTACATTTAGAATTTGCAAATCAGATTTCTTAAAATGGGATAAATTTACATATAACTTCGATAATTTGCAATTTAAACTTTATTAATGTTAAAAATAATTATTGATGTTACAGTTTTTCTTGAAAGGTAAACTATTTGCTAATTGCCTCTTCAGTTAGAAAATTTTACTCAATATTTCCATTAGTTGTTTTCCCAACAAAATTCAGTGAGATCTGCATGCATATGGAATTTAAAGAAAGAATAGCAATGTGTCTAAATGTAATAAGACTAGCTAATAGCTCAGCTAGGATGTGGTAGTCTTAAAAGCTTGAATGTATTTTATTTATATTTTTTTCAGATTTATTTTGGCTGCGTTGGGTCTTTGTTTCTGTGCGCGGGCTTTCTCTAGCTGCAGCAAGTGGGGGTTACTCTCCGTTGCAGTGCGTGGGCTTCTCACCGTGGTGGCTTCTCTTTGTTGCGGAGCACGGCTCTAGGCATGCGGGCTTCAGGAGTTGTGGCACGCGGGCTCTAGAGCACAGGCTCACTTTGTTGTGGTGCATGGCTTAGTTGCTCCCTGGCGTGTGGGAACTTTCCAGACCAGGGCTCAAACCTGTGTCCCCTGCATTGGCAGGCGGATTCTTAACCACTGCACCACCAGGGAAGTCCTTGAATGTATTTTAAATGTAACAGATTATTGCAAGGTTAAAATCAGTTGCTAGAATTAGTGATATAAATTCACCCTTTCAGAAAAAGGTAGTTATTTTTATTTCTTAAAGCATTTAAAAAATACTTAATTTTTCTTTGTTAGTCACTGAAGAGAACATTAAAAATTTTAAAGATGTTAGTATCTTTAAGGTTTAAGATCTAAGACTTCAGAGCTTAGATTTATTAGCAGCAATATGCAAGTTTTGTTACTATCTAATTTATGTTACTGTCCAGCATGTTTGCATTAAGAAGCTAAGCAATTTTATGTGGATTGTTAGAAAACCCTATATAAAAGAAAGCTTTGAAGACCATGGCAAATTAAATTGCATTATACATGTGCTTTGAATGAATTCAGTAAGGACTGATAGCATAGGGCAGTTACTGTGCTCCACCTAATGATTGAAAATAAAGTAGAAACATACTAAGTATTAAGTGATTATATTTGTAATATCAGTTAACTGTCTTATTACTTTGTACTACTCCTTGTGGAGCTGAACATTTATGAAGTTGTTTTAGATGTTTGTCTGGAATAAATACATTTAAATTGTTCCTAGTTAAAAATGTTTGTTAGAGTCAGTAAAATATAACAAGTCCATGAAATTAAATTTACCATCTCCATCTGTGTTTAATATTCGTCTTCTATAACCTTTTTGTTTTTCAGAAAATAATCGGCATAGTTATTAGAAAAACAGATGTCAAAGGCTTTCCAGACAGAAAAAGCTGAGTTCTGTTTAACTCTTTGCTTCATTTTTCATCAACTGTGGCTTATGACTACAACAAAATATATTTAAGTGATTAAATTTCTCATGCCTGTTTAACTCCCTAAGAGCAACAGCCATGTTCTTTATTGCATGGTAAAGTACTTGATTTAAGGCCACATGTGTGGCCTTATATCATTCTTAATGATTTTATTTGATATCTCTAAAACATAATTTTAAAAGCTGTGTATACAGTACTAAAATAGCTAAATTGGTCAACTCATTAATGTGTATCAACGAGTACTTATTGAGCACCTCCACTGTGTAAAACCCAGTGGGAAGGTAAGAGAGAGAGATGTTGTATGTAGTCTCATCATCCTCAGTTATCAAAGTGTCTGAAAGGATGGACATGGAGCTAGTTTGACTGGGCTCAGCACGAGTCATCTGAGATCTATTCTATGTACAGCTGTGAAATCCGGGTAAATAAAGCTGGGATGAGAATTAAATGAGCTCATACATGGAAAGGTGTGTAAGGCACAGTAAGAACTCCATGTTAACTATCAATATCAGCCTAAGAGATACAAGTACACAGGTAAATCTTCATAGAAGACAGAAAGGGACAAGGAGGAAGGTTTTCCAGCAGGGATATGTCCTGACAGTGTTGAGCGAGAGAAGTATGGCAGCAGTATCCATGTATTTACTCAAAGAACCAGACAATTCAGTGGAAAAAAATCATCTTTCACATGTGGAAAATACAGTTAAGTTTGGCTTTAGTGGTTCTTATTGAGTTGCTTGAACTGTGCAAGAATTTTAGGACTATGGAAACACAATCTGAGACTAAAATTAGATTTTTAAAATCAACTGACCCTCAAACTTTTGTAGTTTACATGCAGAGATAAACTATAGAATGCCAAAAGTAGCAATTCACTATTATTAGCTTTTGAAGTGTCAATGCTTTTTATTAAAAGGTACAGTATAAATCCTTCTAAACAGCCTGAGGGAATCCGAGCTCTAGTCAGCCAGCCAGTAATTTTGACAGAAGAAGACAATTAATTGTGGCTGTGTTAATTGACTTATGGTGTAGTGATAGGTACCTTTATTTTCATTTTATTTTTTATAATATTCTGTTGTTATTTTTGAGGTAAATAACAAAGATGTCATCTCCCACCCATACTCGTTTGTCTTCTCTTTACTGCATCATAATTAATTAGATCAGAATTACCACTTGAATAGTTTGAGAAATCCTGCATCTCTGTTTTCTAAGCTGTAAAAGGAATAACTTGAAATATATGAATTAGAAAAGGTCAATATTTATATATTTGCTTAAATTACAGCAATGAAATAAAATTTTCACCTATTAGATGGTGAGAGTAGGGCACCATTTCTGTAGTGTTTGACTTTTTTTTTTTTTTTTTTTTTTTTTTTTGCATTACACGGGCCTCTCACTGCTGTGGCCTCTCCCGCTGCGGAGCACAGACTCTGGACACGCAGGCCCAGCGGCCACGGCTCACGGGCCCAGCCGCTCCACAGCATGTGGGATCTTCCCGGACTGGGGCACGATCCCGCATCCCCTGCATCGGCAGGCGGACTCCCAACCATTGCGCCACCAGGGAAGCCCCTTGACTATTTTTTATAATTGTCTGTACAGTATTCCTTTTTTGGAGAAGATATGCTTACTGACTTTAAAAAACATTACACATATCAATATACTGTCATAAAAAATTCAAGCAGTGCAGAAGGTCATAGAGTCAAAAAGAGAAATTCTTCATTTAACCCTCAACTTTTCCCATCCCAGCCCCCACCCCAAAGGTAAGCACTAATCACAGTTCAGTAGATATCTATAATGTGCATTTGTATGTTAGGTTGTATTACTTTTTAAAAACTTTTAAAATTGAAGTATAGTTGATATATAATATTATAGAACTTACAGGTATACAGTATAGTGATTTACAATTTTAAAGGTTATATTTCATTGTAGTTATTATAAAATACTTGCTGTATTCCACGTGTTGTATAGTATATCTTTGTAGCTTATTTTGTACCTAGAAGTTTGTACCTCTTAATCCCCTACCCCTATATTGCCCCTCTCTCCTTCCCCCATTCCCCCCTTCCCCACTTCCCTCCTTCCCTCTCCCCACTGGTAACCACTATCTGTGATTCTGCTTTTTTGTTATATTCACTAGTTTGTTGTATTTTTTAGATTCCACATATAAATGATATCATACAGTATTTGTCTTTTGTCTGACTTATTTCACTTAGCATAATGCCCTCCAAGTCTATCCATGCTGCTGCAAATGGTAACATTTCATTGTTTTATAAAGCTGAGTAAAAATTTCATTGTGTATATATATGTGTGTGTGTGTATATATATATATATGTATATATATATATATCACAACTTCTTAATTCATCTGGTGATGGACAGTTAGGTTGCTTTCATGTCTTGGTGATTGTAAATAATGCTGCTATGAACATTGGGGTGCATGTATCTTTTCAAATTAGTGTTTTTGTTTTTTTCAGATATATTCTCAGAAGTGAAATCGCTGGGTCATATGGTAGTTCTATTTTTAGTTTTTTTAGATGCATCCATACTGATTTGCACAGTGGCTGCACCAATTTACATTCCCACCAACAGTGTATGAGTTTCCCTTTGTACATTCTCGCCAACATTTGTTATTTGTGTTCTTTTTTTTTTTTTTGCGGTACGCGGGCCTCTCACTGTTGTGGCCTCTCCTGTTGCGGAGCACAGGCTCCGGACGCGCAGGCTCAGCGGCCATGGCTCACGGGCCAAGCCGCTCCACGGCATGTGGGATCTTCCTGGACCGGGGCACGAACCCGCGTCCCTTGCATCGGCAGGCGGACTCTCAACCACTGCGCCACCAGGGAAGCCCATTTGTGTTCTTTTTGACGATAGCCATTCTGACAGGTGTGAAGTGATAGCTCATTGTTGTTTTGATTTGTATTTCCCTGATAATTAGTGATACTGAACATCTTTTCATGTGCCTGTTGGCCATCTGCATTTCATCTTTGGAAGAATGTCTATTCAGTTCTTCTACCTAGTTTTTAACTTGGGTTGTTAGTTTTTTTGATGTTGAGTTGTATGAGCTGTTGATGTATGTTGGATATTAACCCCTTATTGTTTATATCATTTGCAAATATTTTCTCCCATTCAGTAGTTTGTCTTTTCATTTTGTTGATGGTTTCCTTTGCTGTGCAAAAGCGTTTAGGTTTAATTAGGTTCCATTTGTTTATTTTTGCTTTTATTGCCTTTGTTTTAGGAATGGATCCAATAAAATATTGACACAATTTATGTGAAAGAGTCTGCCTATGTTTTCCTTTAAGAGCTTAATCGTGTCTGGCCTTACATTTAGGTCTTTAATCCGTTTTGAATTTATTTTTGTGTATTTTGAGTGTCCTAATTTCATTCTTTTACATGGAGCTGTCCAGTTTTCCCAGCACCACTTATTGAAGAGACTGTCTTTTCTCCATTGTAGATTCTTGCCTCCTTTGTCATAGATTAGGTAACCAGAGGTGCGTGGGCTTATTTCTGGGTTTCTATCCTGTTCCATTGATCTATATTTCTGTTTTTGTGCCAGTACCATACTGTCTTGATTACTGTAGCTTTGTAGTATAGTCTGAGGTCAGGGAGCCTGATCCCTCCAGCTCCATTTTTCTTTCTCAAGATTAGTTTGGCTATTCAGGGTCTTTTGTTTCCATACAAGGCTCACGGGCCCAGCCACTCTGCGGCATGTGGGATCTTCCCGGACCGGGGCACGAATCCGTGTTCCCTGTATCGGCAGGCGGACTCTCAACCACTGCGCCACCAGGGAAGCCCTGTATTACTTTTTAAATTAGCAAAACAATAAAGAAATTTTATTTTGGAAAAAAAGTACTTGCTGACCCCTAGTGGTATCTTTTAGCAGCACACATTTATTTGTTTTGAAATAATTTAGATCTGAATTACGACTTAGGTTAAAACAACAGTAAGAGAGAAATGGAGACTCTAAGCTAATATCTGGATGGTTCAAGCCTACATGTCATTTCCCTCCAAATATACAGATAACTGGGGAAAGGGAACATAGGGGTAACAGTGAGGTGAGTTATCTACCTTGGCAGCTTAGAATTCATAAAAGCATAACTTATATAATTTATATCTGAAATAATATTTTACACCATGTGTTTGAGTGTTTTTAGCATCAAATAATCATATTTGTTCAAAATTAAAATAAAACTTTTCATTTGAAAAATAAAAGCATTGGTTTTCCCTTAGATATTGGATCAGAAAGGTATACTTTCAGTTTCACCATTCGTGATTCAACAACCCATTTTGTAAATGCAACATCGTGGGGCAAGGAAGATTACATCAGATCACTTTCTGACAGCTTTCGTGTTGGGGAGTGTGGTAAGTTGGCATTGATTCTTAAACTGTTTCTTTTACAGTATTATTTCCATGATATGTTTGTGATAACTACACTGAGGGAGTCAAAATGAAATGAGACACAATTCTTATTCTCAAGAACCTTACCAGAAAAAAGTCAAGTGTTGAGTACAACACAAGGCATTCAGCATTTAATTGAAACATACAAACATGATAATCACATATTTTACTAAGTAGCTCTATGATCTTTGGTTTATTTCTATTTCACTTTGCATCAGTCCCTCTTGTGGCTCTAATCATTTATCTTTCTGTAAAATTATAATAGGGATGCTAAATAGATTTTGATAAAAGATATTTGAATTTTTAATGGATTTTAAGAAACCTTCAGCCTAAAATACCAAATCTTTCATATCATCTACCCACCCCAATAGCCCTCTGATGGTACAGTGTAGTATATTGAAAAGAACAAGACTTTGAGAACAGGTAGATCTGGATTCAATTCCAAGTACCAACATTTATTTCATTGTGGCTTTGAGAAAATTTCTTAATCTTGTTGGGTCTCAACTATGAATTAACACCCTATAGATTCTTGTGAATGTTAAATGAGATAGTGTGCCTGTTATAAAGTGTAGAACTTCGTCACTCAATAGATGACAGCTCTAGCCTCATACAAGAAACAAGAAAGCATGTATACCAGCTCTCTTTCATGGTAGAAAAAAGAAGGGAAAGGGTAACACGGACAATTAAACTACTCCTCTCCAACCCTGCAGTATCAAGCAGCCTAGTACCCATACTAGTTACTCAGTACCCAATCATATTATTAACTTTCAGGATTACATATAGTATCTCTCTAACTGAATAATAAGGTAGTTGAACATATGAACTATGAAGGCAAAAAACTTTGCAAACTTTGCAAAAACTTTACAGGCCCTTAGAAGCAGCCTGTAAGGATAGCATTGGGGGGAAGGTGAGCAAAGAGGCAGGGTCAGCAGGAGCCCAGTCTCATCCTGACCCAGATGGGAGCTCTGGAGCATGAGTGGCACCTCAAAGTGGTACCACCCTAAAGAAAGAGGCCTGGGATTTTGTACCCTGTATTTACAAGTTATTGGCTGAAGTCCATGCCCTACTCCCCCTACAAGCAAAACATTTCTTGGATGAATGCCAGAACATTAGTTACCTAGAGCTAAAGATATATTTTGGTATTAACCTGTGTTCCGTGTTGATGGCTGTTGTGAGGATGAATGAGATAAGGGATTTTAAAGGTGTAAATCTGATGATGCTTATAGAAGTAAATAAGATTTTGGTGTGGTAGAATGAAAAGATTACAGATTTTTAAATTAGAATTACAAATAGAACAGTTCTAATTCCAACTCTACTACTTTCTAGATTTAATACCTCAAGAAAGTTATTTAACCTCTGTGAACTTCAATTTCTTCATTTGGAAAAAGGGATAATAATGAGGGATGGTTGTGTGAGGAATTAGCAAAATAGAGCACGAAAAAGTCTAACATAGACAATAGGAAATGAAAACCCTAAAATGTTAAGTCATAAAGCTGATAAGTTGTGGGACTCAAATCAGGACCCAGATTTTGCATTGCTCTTTCTAACTACCACTATTATTTTTGAGGACAGCTGTGAATTGGGTGAAGATCAATTTATTTTATAGAAGGGCATGTTTTAACCAAATCAAATGTTCAGTGTAACTATTCAATAAAGTAATATTAATGTGGATCATATGTTGGGATTTAAACACAAAGTATAAGAAATGTCATCTGAGATCAAATTGATTGATCATACCCCAGGATTCTGTTGCTCACAGTGCCAAAAGAAAATGATTGTGAAGGATACATAACACCAACTCAAAATTAGAAATAACATTGTAATGTTCGTTGTTATGTACACTCATTTTTTAAACTTATCCTGTTACTTTTTTGTAACAGCATCATATTTTCCCCTCTGTTTTAGTGATAATTGAAAATCCCCTGATCCAAAGAAAGGAATTAGAAAGAGAAGAAAAGTTCAGCCCTGCAACTCCTAGGTAAATCTAGCACAGAGGTCAGAATGATTATTACTTTATGCCAGGATGATTATTACTAATAAGTTTATGCCAGAATGATTATTACTAATAAGTTTTTACATGTCAGATTAACAGAGAGCTTATTAAAGGTGTATACTTCAGTTTGAAAATTAGGAGTTTAATTCTGCTTCATAATATTTATCTTTGATTATGAAATAATTTACTTTGACATAGGATCACATAAAAAATGGCTTTGTTTTTAGTACTTTGATTCTCATTCTTAGATTACAAAAATCTGACTCTAGTCACATTAAAGCTGAACAGTGAAAAGGTAAATCATGGAAGTCATATATCCATTTTTTCATCTCAATTTCTAACTCTCTTCACATGCCTTACTATCTTAGTTCAGGTTACCTGGAAGCAGAGCCCAGAGGAGGATTTTTGTGCAGATGATTTGTTGAGGGAGAGCCCTTAGAAGCAGCCTTAAGGATAGCACTGGGGGGAAGGTGAGCAAAGAGGCAGGGTCAGCAGGAGCCCAGTCTCATCCTGACCCAGATGGGAGCTCTGGAGCATGAGTGGCACCTCAAAGTGGTACCACCCTAAAGAAAGAGGCCTGGGCTTTTGTACCCTGTATTTACAAGTTATTGGTTGAAGTCCACCCCCTATTCCTGCAGAGGAGGGAAGGCTTAAAGGTATTTCTGGCTGAGGGCAAATCTCGAGAGAGAAGGGAGTAGCTGGTAAAGAGCTCTGGGTGGGCACAAAAGTCTCTACTACACGTGCACCTGCACCCATTTTTCTGACCTCATCTTATAGGTCTCATTTCTCTGCAGCCACATGAAGAGTCCTCCACTTTATGAACGTCCTGGCCTCATTCTGCACTAACAGCATTGCATGTTCACTTCCCTCTGCAAAGAACAATATTATTTGCTCTTCTCACTGAAGTGTCAGCTTAAATGTCACCTCCTTAGATCTTCCCCCACCTACTCTGTCTGTAGTAGCCCTTCCAGTCTGCATTACTAGGACTTCGTCCTGTACACAGGGTATGTGTACCATCATAACCCTGATCACAATCTGGGATTATTTGATTAATTGTTCTTATCTGTCTCCCTCTCACGCATGTAAACTCCGTGAGATCATAGGTCTTGTGTGTCTTCCTCACCACTGTACCCTCTGTGCCTAGACTAAGGTCTGGCACATAATAGGCTCTCAGTAAGTGTTTATGGAATGAACACATGAATGGAGGGAGGGAAGAGCATCCTTGGCAGAGGGAACAAACATGAAACCTCCTGGCCTTTTCCAGAACAGTTAATAGTAGTTTAAACCTTATGAAACTGTTGATGTTTGACTATGTTCTTCTCTAAAACGGCAGTTTCATAGCCTAGGAATATGATGTGGCTGGAATATAGGCAGGGGAACAGCAGGAGGAGAAGCTCGAGAGACAAGCAGAGACACTTCACAGACAGCTTTGCTTGTTGTACCAACTTCATGCTTTGGTGATGGCTAGCCCAGAAGATCTTTTGAGCTGGGAAATATATTCATATTCGTGGTTTAGGAAGATCAGTTTGGCTACCTGAGGACGGACAGTAGGGGAACAAAGCTTAGGAGGCAAGCAGTAGTTTGGGTGAGAAGTGATGAGGGAAACACCTAAAGCAGTAGCAGGGGGAGGGGGGGGCGGGGGAGGCTCTGGATTAGAGGACTAGAAAGATGCTCCATGGAGGACACTTGGAAGTTGATTGGCTGGAAGGGGAAGAGCACCTCCAGTGTGTAAATATTGTGCATCTGTTCCTACAGAGCACCACAGAGGTAAGGGAAGCACATAGGCAGGGCAGTCAGTGTCATAGAGGTGGAAATCACCCTCCCCCCACCCCCACAATGTTTTAGAGTGCTTTTACACCCTTTTTTTTTTTACAGAGAAAGAAACTGAAACTCAGTATTGTGCAAGATCAGACTATTAGTGTGCTTAACACTCAGACACAGTTGGTCTTTAAAACATTTTCTTAATGAAAATACATTTTAGACAAAAAATATTTTACAAAGCTTTTCAATGTTTCTAAGAGTGAAAAGTATAAATCTTCTTAATATAATTTTTAAAATATAGTTTAAGTTACAACCAGAGTTTAACTGTGAACTTTGAAGTATTTTTCTATTAGAAAATCATTTGATATTAACTTTTGGTGTGTATTTTTACAATTTAGCGATTATAAACTATTGCTCAGTGAGAATCACTCAATGGTAAAAGTTTGTTCCAGTTATGAAGTGGATGCCAAGCTACTTTCTTTGATATACTTACCTGTTAAAGAGTCTTGTGATTATTATTCATTGGGTGACATTGTTGCAAACGGACACAGTCTTGATGGGAGAATTATTAATGTCCTTGCAGCTGTGAGGTCGGTAAGTTAAAACCCCAACAAAGCCAAGTTCAATTTGGTGGGGGGAGTTCTATTATTTTATTTGTGTTTGGAAAGTAATAATGAACTGGAGTAAAATTTCCTCTGTATCTTGATGCATCCTCCGTTGAATTTAGAAAATAACACTTCTCATTAAAGGGAAAGCAGCATTTTACCTGTGAATGAGTAGCAAAATAAAATTGTATTTGAATGTTAAATGCAGTACTCAGTCATAAATGATCCGCTAACTATATGAGAGCTTTTCATACTTGAGTTAAACAAAAGGCACAAATAGAAAGGGTAAATTCATTGACTTTAAGATCTCCAGGAAGTTCTTCAAAGGGGCTTAAGTTGAATAAATCAAGGAATCAATTCAGTGCGTGTTCTCAGAGCTGTCCTGAGTTGGGGGAGAGAGTGAGAAACCCACGGTGCTGCAGTAGGGGCCCTGTGAGCTAATGCATAGCATCAGGTGCTGAAAACCAGGGCAGAACGACACTCCATGGGGTGCCGGGGAATGTCTCACCATCCTTTGCTTCCACAACTCCCTCTTACCCAATTACTGCAGCAAGTTTTGAACTCCATTGGACAGATTAGAATCACTTGTCAGGGAGCAAATTTTCACAAAATAAAGTACATAAATAAAGGGGCAAGAAGAATTTCTCAATATACAGAATGATGATAATCAGAAGACAAAAAAACAGGAAATAGATTTAGGTACTTATAGTTAATGTTGTAAGTAATTGCTAATTGCATTTCCATATTAAATGACTGAGTGTCGACTATCCCCATGACAGGCCAACAGAGGCCTGCCTGCATTGTTCCCCAACCCAGCCCAGCCCAGCCCAGCACAGTGCCTGCCACACAGTGAACACTCAGTATCATTCAGGATGGAGGAATAAACACCCGATATGACAGTCTTGAAAAATGGGAAAAATTCATTTCTGGGCAACTTCGGTTCAATCTTACTTAAAGGCAGGATATGATCTCTCAATTTCCCTGAAATTCCATATAATGCCATTATATCACAATGTAGTAAGGATTTTCTAAAACTCAGTATGAATATAAAACCTACAACAGCTTTTTCCATGTCCCCCTTCCTGCCTCCACCCCTTGAGTCTGGTACCACCTTTCATAGGATTATATTATTTCTTTTATTTTCATGCCTTTTTTCTCCCATTTTGCTTCCATCCCTCTTACATTTCCTTATCTTTACGTTTTTATTTAACCTGTTTTCTTCCTTCTCGCCTCTACTTAGGTCTCTTCACTTTAAAACTCCTTTTCATACAGTTTTCTTGCATGCTGTGATATGGTAGGCCTCTCTCATACTCTGGCTGTCCTTTCCTCTGACTTTCTTTCTAGATGCTCTCTTCTGCAGGCAGCTGTGACTCTTTCTTCAGCTCCTTCCCAAGGAGCTCAGCCCTGACAATAGATGCATGGGTGACAGTGGCATAGGGGGCAGCTGACTGTCCATGCTTGGGCCATTGCTGTGTGACCATCAGAGGTGCTGCTGTTCCATTGAGAACTCCCTGAGGGCACAGAAGGGCCCCTGAGTTCACCTGTACCTCCATGATCCTCTTACACCACAGTGTGGACTGAATCAGACGGTATATCAAAGCACATTCCCATGTATCCCTCATTCGATTCTCACCAGCTTGTCCCTAGGAAGGCAGCAAAGGGGGTATCAATATCCATACCTGGGCTAGTAACATGAGGACACAGGCCCAGAGAGATGAATTCATCCAGTCACATGAACTCTGTGCCAGGCCCTGCGCTAAGCCATGGGGATACATAGATATTGAAAATGTACTTTCTACCTTCACTGAGTCCACATAGATGCCACCCAGGGACTTGTCATGGAGCATTTGTTCTGACATGGTGAAAAGATCCCACAGTCTTGACTTAAAGCACACATATCTGTATCTCTCTTCAATCAAAGTGTGTGACTTACAACTTAAATACACCTAGTTCAGAGATAAAAGATGCTGTTAAATCATCAAATATATTTAGTGATTCTAGCTATTTTGATATTTCTAATTTGTTGTTTAAAAGGTAAACATTTGTGTATTTCCATCAACAAATATTTAAGTACCTCTACAACTCTAGGGGAAGAAAAATAATGATTTTCTTCAATTTCTAAGGTTGGAGAGCCAAAATACTTTACAACTTCAGACCGAAGAAAAGGCCAGAGGTGTGAAGTTAAACTCTATGATGAGACAGAGCCTTCTTTTGCAATGATATGGTAACTTCCCACATCTGTTCCAAACGGTGAAATCTGTGCTATTATCACCAAGTCAGACATTTTAATTTCATCAGGAGATGATGGATTTCATATCAGGAGAGGAGTAATGATATAGAAATGATATTTAAAAAATAAACCTTTCTCTTGTATGTTGAGTCATTACAGTCTATGATTACCTTAAAATGAGATCTTTAGATGGCATGGGATTTCATAGATGGACTCTACTGTAACTTGTTTATTATTGTACTCTGTTTTGTAACAAATCGTCATTTACTAAGTCTCATTGATAAAGAACAAGCCAGACTTTCTGTGATTCCTTGGGTGGTACCCTGGAGCCAAGCCATGGAAAGATGGTAGAAAAGCAAGCATTGTCACAGGCTGGGTTCTATGGGGCTCCCAGTGTGTCAGATGTGGGGCAGGGCTACATCCTGAAGCATCACAGGGTATAACATGGTATTGTTTAGACTCCAGATGCCTGGGTACCAAAGAAAGCATTTAATTTGAAACAGGGCTTCAACCTATCAAGTCCCCTGAGCAGTTTATCCATTGTGGGGGCCCTCCTTTAATGGCACAAAAGAGTGACTTCAAAATTTTTAAACTTGTAGTCACTCAGTTCTAACTAGCCTGGAGTGACCTGGGTGATAGGAAGAGAAGGAATTGAAGGAGCAGAAGTTGTTAGAGATGAATGGTGCTGAAAGGAATGATTTTCATAGGTGTTAAATTTTCTGTGAAATAGGCAGTGTAGCCCTGCCAAATGCAGGAGAAGCCAAAATCCTTAACTGTGCCTTGGACCGTATGGGGGATTATTAACCTCATCCATTAAGACATCCTTTTTCTGGTAAATAATGTGGTCACTGCCAGTTTTTTTCTAATGTATTTGATTTTTATCACTTCTTTTTTAACACATGCAGTTGGGATAATGAATCTATTCTACTTGCACAGAGCTGGGTGCCACGAGAAACAGGTATAATACTTCAATGATTGTGTTCAATATTTGTCATTTTTTTATCCCCCTGTGTAATAATTTTAAAATGGCTTTTTTCCCAAACAGTAGTATTTGCCTCAGATGTAAGAATAAGTTTTGACAAATTTCGGAACTGCATGACAGCAACTGTAATCTCAAAAACCATTATTACAACTAATCCAGGTAAAAAGCTATCTGAAATTTTTTATCCCTTTGGAAATGTCTACATCATGTATTCTAATATTTGTGCAGTGTGTTTAAGAATGAAGCTTGGATTTCATTTGAATTAAAAGTGAAAAACTGCTTCATATGACTTTGAAAAACTTACAATGAGCTCTATCTTTGATATCTTTACAAAAGAAATGTGAAAAACCAGAATCTTTTTTTAAAAAAATAAATTTATTTATTTATTTATTTTTGGCTGTGTTGGGTCTTCGTTTCTGTGCGAGGGTTTTCTCTAGTTGTGGCAAGCAGGGGCCACTCATCATCGCAGTGCGCGGGCCTCTCACTGTCGTGGCCTCTCTTGTTGCGGAGCACAGGCTCCAGATGCACAGGCTCAGTAGTTGTGGCTCACAGGCCCAGTTGCTCCGCGGCATGTGGGATCTTCCCAGACCAGGGCTCAAACCCGTATCCCCTGCATTGGCAGGCAGATTCTCAACCACTCTGCCACCAGGGAAGCCCCAGACTCATTTTTAAAGCATCATCCCTTGTGATGATTTTGAGAGCTCATTGCTATTGATTGGATAACCTGAATTATTGACTATTTAAAAAATAAATTTAATTTTACTGCATTCAGGTAACAGCACTAGAGAGTGGAGAACATATATATAGTATCATTAGTTCATAATTGTTAGTGGTTGTTAAAGGGTTAAAGGTGTTCCAGCATGAAATCAGGGAAGCAGGTTTGGGGAGATGAGGGGTTGGTGCCCTTAAGCATCCTTAGAGTGCTTTGTAGTGCAGATAGAAAGATCAGCCCAACACTGCAGAAGAGTACAGAATTCCCAGAAGTGAATAATCCTTCAAAATCTCAAGAAGATATAAATATAGTAGGTATCATTTTAAATATAAGTTCACTCTACTGGTCAATAATGAAGCATTAATAGTGACTGAGAACTATAAAGCAATTTTGTCTTTGACCAAACTTACCAGAATTTTTAAAAGTAAAATTACTATGAGATATGATATAAGATAACAAGACTTTTTAAATATAAGTATGTTGGATCTTGCTCATCTACTGCAGGAATGTTGTCTCCTTAAAAGCAGTATCATGGGAGGTGATACAACACTCATTGATTTGTTCTTGTTGAGCTCTCGTCTACTGTGCACATGCTCTGTGCTGGGCACTGTTCTGGGTCCAGTGACAAAACACAAATATCTCTCCTCTCACAGAGCTCACGTCCTAGCAGGGGGGAGACAGAGAATGAACAATAAAGATAACACATCCATGAATTATGAAATGCTTGAGAAATAAAAGAGGAACAGGGTCCGGAGGGTCTAGAATGCCATGGTGTGTGTAGGGCAGGTTGCTGTTTACATAGGGTGGTCAGGTAGGCCTCACTGGGAGGGCAACATTTGAGCAAAGATGTGGTGAGGCAGTGAGGGGGTTAACCATGGGAAAAGAGCACACCAGGCAGAGGGACCAGCCAGTGCAAAGTCTCTGAGGCCAGTGTGGCTGGATCTGATAGAGCAGGGCAGGAGGAGGAGTGGAGGTCAGAGAAGAAATGGAGGCAATTGAGAAGGACTTACTGATAAAAGAATGCTGGCTTTTACTTTGTAGGAAAGGGGGAGCAGGGCAGTGACATTATCTAAGTTCTAAAAGGATTGCTCTGGCTTCTTTGTTGTAAATTAATGGGGACACAACCCTGGTCTGTTCTTACCACAGGGCAATAATGTCACTCTTCAATTACTTTTTTTTTTCTTTTGAGGAGGGTACTATGGTTTCTTATTTTTAATATTTTATTAATACTAATAGACTATTTTTAGTATATTTAATAACATCAATGATAGAAAATCTTCATCCTCTAAGGGTAAATTTGGTCTGGGAAAATTTCTAAAAGACAGTTGGATTTGTCTGGTGGAAAAGGTTATCAAGCTTGACAGTATTAATCGTATCAAAACCTCAAGACTAAGTTAATGAGACAGATTTGAAGGATGTTGTGCGTTTGGCTCTGAAAACAGGTTCACAGGGGAAATGTCAAAGTGTTTTGAGCAATGCTAACATCATTAGAATAAATGCCTTATTTCTCAAGGAGACAAATATAAAGGAGAATATGTATAACGGTGTGTGAATTTCAATATGCTTATTTAAATCAGTCTTATTTCTAATTTCCTGGGCTACACATGCCACATAGAAGTTAAGAACCTCTAAATGGTTTGAGCTTTCATCCTAGCCATCATGTCCAGGCTTCCTGCCCCGAGAGAGTTCATCAGATGGGGAAGGAAGAATTTCTGTCCCCCCACAGACAGTCTGGGATGACCCTGTTGTCCTTAGAGCTCTTGACAGCAGTGCCTACACCCCACCCTTCCTACCAGCTTCTGTCCCAGGATGCTCATTAATTTACAGATATTTAGTGAATGCCTTTTATTTGACAACTACTGAGGTAACTTTAACACTTTCTGGAACAAGGAAGTACATGAGTGGATGGATGCTCAGATGGATGGAAGGATAGTCACTATAACTGAAGTACAGAAGTGAAAGGGCAAAACCCCTGTCTGGGATTCCAGTCTAGTTCTGAGAAAGAACCAACAGTGATAAGACTTGTGGTACAACAGGACGAGGAGGAAGAAACCCTGACTCTGTCCAGGGGAGTCAGGGGGTCCAAGCATAGGCAGGACGGTTTGCAGAATGTTGGAGATGGTGAGGGAGGGCTGAAGACGAGCAGGTGTTAGAGGTTGGGGCTTGGAGTTGAAGGGTGTCAGAGTTAGAGAGCCCCTCTTCAAAATCAGATTCGTGCCTTCTGGCACATTATCTCACTATTCCTGAGGATACTCATGTCCCAAATTGAGGAGCAAGTTTGTTTTTTTTTAAGTAATTTATTTATTTGGCTGCTTCGGGTCTTCGTTGTGGCATGTGGGGTCTTTAGTTGCAGCACGCAGGCTTCTTTCTAGTTGTGGCGCACAGCTCCAGAGCACACAAGCTCTCTAGTTGTGGCATACAGACTCTCTAATTGTGGTGCGCGGACTCCAGAGCACACAGGCAGGCTTCTCTCCAGTTGTGTCGCATGGGCTCTAGAGCACTCGGGCTCAGTAGTTGTGGTGCGCGGGCTTAGTTGCCCCGTGGCATGTGGGATCTTAGTTCCCTGACCAGGGATCAAACCCACATCCCCTGCATTGGAAGGCAGATTCTTAGCCACTGGGCCACCAGGGAAGTCCCGAGGAGCAAGGTTTTTTTTTTTTTAATTATAAGAATCTTTTAAAAAATTTATTTATTTTTGGCTGCATTGGGCTTTCTGTAGTTGTGACTAGCGGGGGGCTACTCTTTGTTGCGGTGCACAGACTTCTCATTGCGGTGGCTTCTCTTCTTGTGGAGCATGGGCTCTAGCCACATGGGCTTCAGTAGCTGTGGCACGTGGGCTCAGTAGTTGTGGCTCACGGACTCCAGAGAGCAGGCTCAGTAGTTGTAGCACACGGTTTTAGTTGCTCCGCGGCATGTGGGATCTTCCTGGAACAGGGATCAAACCCATGTCCCCTGCATTGGCAGGCAGATTCCTAACCACTGCGCCACCAGGCAAGTCTGGAGCAAGCTTTTTAAACAACCTTAAAAATTTTTTTCTGACTAGAAAAGAAATACATATAAAATTCAAAAAATGCATAAAAGCATAAAAAGGAAAAGAAAGATCAGCTGTAAATTCACCATCTCGTAAGAGGTAATCATCTCTTTGATACATATTCTTCCAGATAATTTTGCTCATGTATCTTTTTTAAAATGAAAGGGAATTGTATGACAATGTTTTGTAAGCTGCTCTTGAAACTCATGATATCTGGTGTACATCTCTCTGTGTTAATGGAGCACCCCATCACATTGTTAATGGCTTTGTAATATTGTGTTTGATTGTATTCTTATGTCTTCACTTTTTACTGGTAAAAATAATTTTGGATCATTTACAGTGATTTAAAAAATAATCAGTTTGCTGTTTACTTATTATGCATTTTCAATTAAGATACACCAGAAGCTAACATCCTATTGAATTTTATAAGAGAAAATAAAGAAACAAATCCTCTGGATGATGAAATTGACAGTTATTTGAAAGAATCCACAAATTGTAAGTGATCTTTAAATATTATTTGGATTTTTAAAAGGCCAGAATTTGGGCCTATAAAGTTACTTAGTAAAAGATATTGTATTCTTATTATGTAACTGCTACACTTCCACTTTTTATTTATTTATTTTTGGCTGTGTTGGGTCTTTGTTTCTGTGCGAGGGCTTTCTCCAGTTGCGGAGAGCGGGGGCCACTCTTCCTCGCAGTGCGCGGGCCTCTTACTGTTGCGGCCTCTCCCGTTCTGGAGCACAGGCTCCAGACGCGCAGGCTCAGTAGTTGTGGCTCACGGGCTTAGTTGCTCCGCGGCATGTGGGATCTTCCCAGACCAGGTCTCAAACCCGTGTTCCCTGCATTGGCAGGCAGATTCTTAACCACTGCGCCACCCAGGGAAGCCCTATACTTCCACTTTTTAATAGGTAGTTTAAAACTTTTGGAGGCTTATATAACCTTTTGCCAATCTGATGAGAGCTATGACCCTTTCCCCAGAAAAGTAGCTGTACCCACACATAGAATTTTGCATAAAATGTCATGTGTTCACAGACCCCAGACTGAAACTTGACTTTAAAAGGGATGCTGGGAATTCCCTGGCAGGCCAGTGGTTAAGACTCCATGCTTCCAAAGCAGGGGGCGTGAGTTCTATCTCTGGTTGGGGAGCTAAGATCCCACATGCCTCGTGGTGTGGCCAAAAAAAAAAAAAGGGATGTGGTTTTTTGCCGTCTGTGGCTTATGCTTAGACACTCAGGAGAATGGCGAAAAGCAGAGGGAAAACTTCAATCATTCCCTGAAGGCACGTTCTTGTAACTTCATCCTAGGAGGTGAAATGCTTCCTAATAATTCCTCTTGAGAGAGTAACAATTGAATTAAGCATGAAATAAGTTATGCTGCAAGTCACATTAACTTGTAAAAGAAGAACTTTGTTATGCTTTCCTGGGGGATATTTAACATGTTTCCTTTCTTTCTTTTTGTTTTGTTTTGTTCTGTTTTGTTTTTCGGCTGCACGGCGTGGCTTGTGGGGAACTAAGCCACGTGGTGCAGCCAAAAATAAATAAATAAATAAATATAGTCTCTTCACCATTTAAAAAATTGAGTTGACTTGTCTTTTTCTTATTTATTTTTAAGAATCCTTTAGATATTCTGGATATGAATCCTTTATCTCCTTATAGATTGCTAGCATCTCCCACTCTATGGCTTGCCTTTTCATTCTTTTAATGGAATCTTCTGATGATCAGAAATTATTCATTTTAATTAAGACTAATTTCTCATTCTTTTCCTTTTTTGCTTTTATGTCCTTCTATATAATCAGTTTTAATATATCATATATAATAATTTTTCTATTACATAACTTAAGCTACTACATATTCTCATTTGAGCTTTGTAGCTTTTCTATTTGGATATAATCCTTTGGAGTTCTTAGAATATATTTAGAACTTCCATGACTTTTCTTTTTTTTAGTAAATACAATAGTTGATGTCTATACAGTTGAACAATTAAAGGTAAAAGCTTTGAAGAATGAAGGAAAAGCTGATCCTATCTATGGAATTCTTTATGCTTACATTTCTACACTGAACATTGATGATGAAACTACAAAAGTAGTTCGAAATAGATGGTAAGCAACCAAATTACTTTTAGAAAGTTCATTCTTGTAAGAAATAAAAACAGTTATTGTTAATATATATATATATATATATATATATATATATAAACAGTTAATGTTAAAATATAAATATATATTCCATTCCCTCTTCAATCCCTTACATTAACTATTAAAAGTGAAAAAAAAAAGTGCTGTGTTTAATGGTCTTGTATATAGCAGCACCAAGAAAGTGGACAGTTTCTCTTTTTAATACCTTATTTAATATGAATAAATCTTGAGTTTAGAAGACCGGTCAAAAGGAAGCCCACATTACATCCAACAGCTCAAACTAGCCTAGGTAGCTCTCAATCGACTCAATAAATGAAGAACTCAAATGTAAAATATATTTATTCCAGCTGTGCGAAATTACTACTCTTTAATTACAAAATAATACACCAGAAATTTGTTTTCACCCATAGCAAAAGAAGTGTTACCAGCAAGTTTGGCATTTTGCAGAAATGCTCTTTTAATGTGGAATCCATAAAAATTTGCATGTACATAGTGAATTTCCTGAATAACAAAGTTGTCAATAAGAATTTAAGAGAAATAATAAACTCTGGATGCTGGGTTGTTTTAGAAAAAGAGCTCCTTTACAGGAATAATTAACATGTATTGTTATGCCAGGCAATGCTCTAAGTCAGGACAGCAAACTGTTTCTGTAAAGGTCTAAACAGTAAATATTTTTGGTTTTGTGGATTATACAGTCTTGTTTGCAACTGCTCAACTGTCGTTGCTTTTGTAGTAGGAAATTGGCCTTATTTAATATGTAAACAAATGGACGTGGCTGTATTCCAATAAACTGTACTTACCAAAATAGATGGCAGACTAGTTTTGGCTCACGGGCTATATTTACTGTCAGCACAAACCCGTGTCCCCTGCATCGGCAGGCGGACTCTCAACCACTGTGCCACCAGGGAAGCCCCCTTGTTAATAAATTTTAAACTCTATAAAAGTTAAGCTATTCTTTGACATAATAGTGGTTATGCATTTGAATAGTGGTTATGCATTATGCATAAGTGGCTATGCATTTGACAGACTATTTAGATTCAAAATTATAATTGCCTTTTAAAGCAAAATTTAATTTACTGTGTTTCAGCAACCCTAAAATAGAAAGATATAATAATGGCGAAACTTTTAACTGGGGTGAGAAACTATTGTTTTATGACAATTCGAAAATTATTTTGGTGACCACATCCTATAGCAATACAAGTAATAGCATTTTAATAAATTATTTCAGCTGTATGAAGAATATGATTTCCAACCTCTCCTAGGTCAAAGTTAGTATCTACTTGCATAGAAAAGTAAACCCAAGTAGATTTAATAGTCTTAGCCAAAAAATGCTTGGCAAGAAAATTCTAAAATGTTATTGTGAAAGCCTTCCTATGGGTTTATAATTGACATTTTTATTGACATAGTTCTAGATTCACATGGCACTGTAAGAAATAATATATAAACTGTACACTTTGTCCAGTTTCCCCCAATGGTAACATTTTGCAAAACTATAGTATCACATCATAGACAGTAATGACATTAATTAAATCCACTGATCTTATTCAGATTTCCCCAGATTAATATGCATTGTGTGTATGTGAAATTTCATATAGTTTTATCATGTATGAAATGAAAAACCACCACAATCAAGAAATTGACCTATGGATTTTTAAAACATTGTATGATTTGGTGTTAAAGTTGAAAAAAACTAATGTAGAGGCTGTTGTGTAAGGCAGGTGTTTATTTTTTGAAAAATATTTTTCAAAAATTAAAAAAAATGTTATTGTCTCCCTTATTTTTCCTACATCTTTAATATTGATATCTGAGGAAAAGTATCTAAAATTTAATTCAAAAGTGATCTGTGGCTTACAAGAAACCAGTATCTTCAGATCATTCCCTCTGCTTGAGAAATTTGAATTAGTCTTTGCCTATTCAAATTGGCAAAGTAATGACTGCTTCAAAAATATAGAAGAGCATGGAATTACCCCTTAAAGAGAGGAGAATGTGTCACTAGCAGTACTAGCAGCATTTAGAGTGTGAACCTCCCCAAACCTCGGGTTATTCTGTGAATGTACAGAGGACTTAGTACAGGACCAAGTGAGCATTCATGGAACCCAGGCTTTCTAGGCACAAGACAGGATTCCTGCCCTCAAACTCTGAGCCAGGAGATAAACAAACATACCTGCAATAACATGGAATAGGATGTGATAGGGTGTAAGTCCATGCTGAAGTGTAAGTTGTGCAGCTGTTCAGAGAAGGGAGGGTATGGGGTTGGGGTGCAAGTGAGGAAGGCCCCAGTAGGGGAGTGATCCTGGGCAAGAACCCCAGCATGGGGGAAGGTAGGAGGCAGAACTGAGAGGACTGGCTTGTCCCAGTTTCTGAAGCAGGAATACTGAAAATGAGGTTGACTGCATAGAAAGCATGTTGTATTGCTGTGCATTGTTGCTTGTTATTTTGTAGGTCTGTTTTGTACCCTGCTCAGCACTGAGCACTCTGTAATTACTTGCTCTGTAAATATTCCAGGTGCTGACTTAGGCTAAAAGTCTAAGTGATAATTCTTCTGCTAGAGATCAGATTTGTCACTTAGGGCCTTCACATTCTATCTTGTCTTTGTTTCTTTTCAGTTCAGGCTGTGGTTACATTGTAAATGAAGCATCCAGCACTTGTACAACTTGCAACAAAGATTCTTCAGAATTTAAATCAGTTTTTCGCAGCTTCCATATGCTAATTGATCTTACTGATCACACAGGTACCCTCCACTCCTGTAGTCTCACAGGAAGTGTTGCTGAGGAGACTTTGGGCTTCACGGTAAATAATACAAAGGAAAATATGTTTAGAAATACTTCCAAATTGAATTCGCTTCCCCAAACATATAGGTTATTTTGGTGAACATTTGATAGAAATTAATTCATTAATAAAGAGGTCTGGGAAAAATCAATCTTGACTTAAACACACATTGTTTTAATGAACAAATAATTACATATTGCATATTAAAATCCTAGCTAACATTAACTGTTAGGAATAACAAGAGACGTCCTTGGTGACAGTGGAGAATAAACATGACATTTTATATAGTCAAATGACAATGGGCAAAACAACACCTTGGAGACACTGAGCAGGGTCCTCTGTGAGGAGGGTTTGCCAGTATTTCACCTACCCAGGTGCATAAGGTCAGCCATGAGCTCTTCCTCAGTCTGCCCCATAGCACAGCAGCAGAGATTAGCTTGTGTGCTTGATGTTAGGTTTGATGTTTTTTATTGTTAGAACCCGCTCATGAAGTTTACCATTAAGCCTCAGTGGTTTCCACTTTGTTAAGGGGGACTTTCTGTGCCGAGCCACCTGGCTGGCTTCAGACATTCAGTTTAGAGCCTTTCTATCTAGCCTTATCTCCTCCGTCAAGAGAATTGACCTGTAATTACTATGGATAAATTCCACTTCCAGTGAGCAAATTTGTTTTACATTATTGTCAAGATGAGTTATCTATATATTCTTTGGAAATATTTGTTTCATTTTTTTATCCAGGTAAATGAGTTTCTTGCAATGACGGATGAACAGAAAACAGCATTAAAGTGGCAGTTTCTTTTGGAAAGAAGCAAAATTTATTTAAAGGTTAGTGCATTTTATAGTACTATATTATTCTTTTTTTAAACATTTATTTATTTATTTGGTTGTGCCAGGTTTTAGTTGTGGCAGGCAGCCTCCTTAGTTGTGGCATGTGAACTCTTAGTTGTGGCATGCATGTGAGATCTAGTTCCCTGACCAGTACCAGTACTAAAACTTAACATTGAACCCGGGCCCCCTGCACTGGGAGTGCGGACTCTTAACAACTGTGCCACCAGGGAAGTCCCAGTACTATGTTATTCTATATGTTCAAGCAATAAGAAAATCCTGGAGTATGATGTAATAAATTAGGGAATTTGTTATATTTTTAATAAACTTATTTATTTTTATTTTTATTTATTTTTGGCTGCATTGGGTCTTCGTTGCTGCATGCAGGCTTTCTCTAGTTGCAGCGAGCGGGGGCTACTCTTTGTTGCAGTACATGGGCTTCTCATTGCAGTGGCTTCTCTTGTTGCAGAGCACGGGCTCTCGGTGCGCAGGCTTCAGTAGTTGTGGCACGTGGGCTTAGTAGTTGTGGCGCACGGGCTTAGTTGCTCCGCGGCATGTGGGATCCTCCCAGACCAGGACTCGAACCCATGTCCCCTGCACTGGCAGGCAGATTCTTAACCACTGCGCCACCAGGGAAGCCCAGGAATTTGTTATTTTTAATAATGCCCAGTTCCCAGATGTGCAGAAGGATTTGGCTACCATAGAAACAGTGGAAGTAATCAGCTTTTTTCATATAGTATAAAGGAGTTATAAATGATACAAAATAAAAAGACCAACAAAGAAAATATTAACTCCGTTAATGTTAACTCCAAGGCTAGGAACTGGGCTTTAGAGTCAAAGCTGGGTCCCGCCCGCCCCCATGTGTGATGCTCCTCACTTCAGTGAGCAGTATTCAATAGCAAGTTAAATGCTGCGGTGAGACAGACTTGGGTTTGTCTCCCAGTCCCACCATTCCTCAGCCTATGTGACCCTGGGGAGGTTAATTAACTTCTCTAAGCCTCTAAAATTCTGTGCTCCTACAACTCTGATCAGAGCAGACTCCCGCAGCAATAGCAACACTTCAGTGTTGGAAGGCCACAGAACCTTAGTGTTAAAAGTGTAAAATGGGCAGTGGGACAAACTCCCCTTGTTTTGCAAATGAGGAAAATAGGACCAAGAAATGTTGCTTCTTGCCCCAGGTCACAGGTGAGATAGGGCTACAGTCTACATTATTTCAGATATTTCCTCTTTTATACTCTTAAAATTTTTTGAGCTCTTAAGTGAGTTATATCTGTCAACATTTATTATACTAGAACTTAACATTGAGAAAAATATTAAATGTATTCATGAGCACACATTCTTTTAGCAGTTAGAACAATGATATCATCTCATGTCATGTAGCCTCTCGAAAACTACAGTGCACTCTGGTGAAAGAATGAGAGTAAGAAAGGCAAAGAGCATTTTCATATTATTATGAAGATAGCTTTGATCTCATGGATACCCTGAAAGAGTCTTTGAGAACACTGGGTCTGCTCCATCTCAGCCTCGTAAGCAGGTTTTCCCATTTTCCTGTGGCTTCCTTTCCTTGCAGCCTCAAGTATATCTGAATAGATTACAGACATGGAGTCACCAATGGCCTCAACAATATTTCTAGGACCTCAGTTTGAGGCCTCTTCATTACTATGCCAAAGGGGGAAAATTACAGTAATATACTGCATCTCATTCACCATTTGCATGAATCCACCTAAATACTGTATAATGTCTATACCCAAATCAGCATATACTCAGATCCTTGTCCAACTTTGTGGTTTCCCTCCAAACAGGAGGTACCAGTTGCTCTGAGTTTGATCAATTTAAATTCATGGTAACTTATTTATAGTTTCCCAAACTTGATTCAAATATAGCAACAAATTGCTCTCAAGTAAATGGATATTGTACCTTTCCGAAGAATATGTTAAAAAGATATTTGTCAGATTTAACAAAGATTTCAAGCAGGTAGTGGTTATATCACAAAATGTGATAAAGATTGTGAGCCTCAAATACAATTTCAATTGTTATAAATCAGTTAAAACAGAACATGTAATTTAAAAAATAAGAACTTACATTGCTCTGCTAATAAGATAAAAACAAAGGATTTCCATATAGGACATTTTGTATATTTATCATATTTCAATTAAAAATAATGGCTACTTAAAGTGGTTCATTTGGAGGGATTTCAAAGTGAGTTATTCATTTCAGTGTTTTAAAACACATAGTGATATTAGTATCACAGATCCTTGTAAGATCTGATATTAATGTTAAAGTATAATTTTCAAAAAGGTTAAATTGACTCATACAAAATAAAATGAATACATGTCAAAGATTTAATTCAATTCATTAATTAATGAAGGAAATTAAAGTGCCTAGCTGATGTGTCCTTCTACTCTATACTAAATAAAATGTTGGTGAGAGTGCTTTGTAAATTGTAAAGAGTGAGACATCATTATTAATCAACTGCATCATGATATCGTTGTGCTAACAGGTCACGTTACTGCTGCGGGTTCACGTCTGTCACAATTGGTTGTTTGAACACACTTTAAGCCCTTTTTTCTACATGTTGGATTTGAAGCGCCAACTTTCCTACCTGAGAAAAAGGTCATGAAAAATTGATGTGGATTTTTACAAAATTACTGTCAGAAGCCAGATCTATAATTTTTCTCCCAACTCTGCCTGAGACTGGAACTCTTTCCATTGTCTTACAGCTTTAATTGAAGTTTTTGTTCATATCTGTAAAGAAAACTCATTGCTGTTCTCTATTTGTGGTCGTTGGTTTTCAGCATTGTATACCAGGTGACTTTAGAAACTAACTCTCTTTTTCTCTCTGCAGTTTTTTTTATCTCATAGAGCAAGGGGTGGACTGAGAGTGAGTGTGCTCTCCTGTAAGCTCGCAGATCCTATCGAGGCAAGTAGGAACTTGTCTGGACAAGGAAATATTTAAAAACCAGACGTCATTTTAAACTCTGGAAAAGAATACAAGTTTTAACCGCCTTTAAAGTGGAAAATGGGTTTGAAAATTACAGATAAAATTGTATTTTGTTCAAATGTGGTGAGAATGTTTCTGTAAATTGTTATTCTGTTTCCCCCTGGAGTAGGTTAAGAGTAAATCCTAAAATCTCCCTCTTATTCAAATTCATTTCTTAGAAGGCCTTTTCTACTGGCTTTGCCCTCTCTCTCTTCCCAAGTTGGAAAATGTTTGCATGAATTAATAAACAAGTTTAATCTTTCCCACAGATATGAATGATTTTCCTTAAGCCCCTTTCCTCTTTGTCTTGTTTGCCTGGAGAAAGATCAGAACCTATAAAAACAACGTGACCATGGCTCAGACTACTTTGCTGGAGCTGATGGGCACGGACGACCGGTTCTCCCAGTGCCGGGTGGGGACGGCAGAAGTCCATGGGTGATGCTGTACAACTGTTTTGATCACTGTAGAGCTTTTCCAGTCGGTTGCTTTCTCTGATGACACACCAGAGCTACCCAATGCTTGTGAAGGCTTGCTGACTCAGGCTTGACATTTGTGAGTCTGAATCAACTCGGGGAAGACCAGCTTCAGAAGTTTCACAAGCGGTGACGAGTCTTAGGAACTTGGAAGGGTGGGTGACCTGCTCTGCTTTGACAGGGCGACAGCCCCTCCACTTCAGCTGCCTTTGCAGCAGCCCCAGAGTGCTCTGCTCAGCTCCACACCATCTCCAGTCACTGGTCACTTGCTTCAGGGCAAAGACCCACCACTGCGGTCAGTGTTGATCCACAGTGTGGGAGGTTTGTCCAGCGTAATTTGGGTCTGGCACTTCAAAGGCTACACTTCACCCACCACAGGAGTGAAAAAAGAAAAAGTAAGTGAACGAAATTCTTTTATAAAGCTGGTGTTGGGAGATAAACTTATCTTGTCAGTAATGTTTTCTCTGGCTTTAACCATATGCAGCCATGGGGGAGGGATATGAGTTGACACTTAGTGTGTCTAAATTGTGGTAATAAATGAAGTAATGAAGATCTTGATCATAGTTGTGCAAATATCAAGTGTACCTGATGAAGGGCTTCCTTCCTTTCTCCCTCGGGGAGGGGATAGGTGTGTTAATTAGGGTGAATTGTGAAGGTGGACAGGGAAGGAAGGAAGGAAGGAAGGAGAGTGGTGCAGGGACAAGGATGCCTGGCCCAGATAGTGTGTCCGGCGCTGCTGTGCCAGACCTCCTGGGGCTCTGACCTCTAGCAGCAGGTCTCAAAGTGCCAACACCTGGCACTTTGGGTGCCAGAACAAGCTGTCTGGGCTCCTATAGTCCATGGCCCTCAGCTGCTCTGGATGTTTCACCACTAGCCTCAACTGCATAATACAGGTACAAAATACCAGCATTCTCAAAGTAGGTGCATATGCAGTACTCAGTGTTGCCTAACCAAGGCCTGTGAAGGCCTAGTGGGCAGCAGAGGGCTCTGCATGACTTCCTCACTGCTACCATGGTGACCTCTCAGTCCGCTGGCATTTAACTAAGGAGACCCCATGCCTGTCACTAGAGGGACATCACAGTTGCTTATTTCATCTGATGAAATTGGAATCTACAGGGCTAGCTGTCATGCCACACTGAATCAGAGGTGCTTCACAGAGCTTACTTAACTTACACATACACAGAATGAAGATTACAAACGGGTCAGTATCTAAAATTTGGCTGTAGATTAGCCAGAAGGCAGGTACTTGAACTATCAATGAAAGAAAGAAGCATTCTGCCCCATCAACACAAAATCTACAACTCCCTGTCCAGGATCTCTATTTCTCTGCTGCTCTCCAGAAGCTGCTATTCCTGGTCCTAGTGACTTCTGATCTACATGTTTTATATTGCTTTATATAAATAGTTTGGTGACTATATAATTTTTCCTAATCTTCTATTAGTGGTTCATTTAAATACAGTTTTCCTTTCCTAATTCTGCTTTGGTGAGGGTTTTTGTTGTTGTGGTTCAATACTCTGTATGTGGCAGAAACACAATATATATTTATCCACCTATTACTCATCTTGAGGAACCCTGGAGTTGTTTTTACTTTTTAAATATTTTTTATCATAAAGTTTTATGTGTTTATTGTAGAAAAATTAGAGAAAATGATAAAAAAAAAAGGAAAAGGAAAGAAAAGAAAACCCATAATCTCCCATCCCAATTTTTTTAAACTGGTAGGAAATATATTCTTTTCTTATAAATGTGTTTTTGTTTTGTTTTTTTATTGTGGTAAAACATACATCACATAAAATTTACCATTTTGACCGTTTTTAAGTGTACAATTGAGTGGCATTAAGTACATTCACAATTTTGTGTAAACATCACCACTATCCATTTCCAGAAATTTTTAATCATCACAAATTGAAATTCTGTACTCATTAAGACAATAACTCCCCATTTCCCCCTCCCCCCAGTTTCTGATAACCTCTGATCTACTTGGTCTCTATGAGTTTGCCTATTCTTGGTACCTGATATACATGGAATCATACAATATTTGTCCTTTTGTGTCTAGCTTATTTTTCTGAGCATAATGTTTTCAAGGTTCATGTTATAACGTGTCAGAATTTCATTCCTTTTTATGGCTGAGTAGTATGTATGAATTGGATAAATGTACCACCTTTTGTTTATCTATTAATATCTTGGTGCACAATTGGGCTGTTCCACCTTTTGGCTATTGTGATTAGCCAATCATAGCTACCTTGAACATCTGTGTACAAGCATCCACATTTTTGTAAATGTCTTTCCTGAGTTTTTATCATCTCTCCATCTGTGTTAGAGCATATAATTTATAAAATAAAACCAAAAAATTAAAAACATATGATTTACAAATACAGGTTATACTATAACCTGCTTTTATACTTAATAATTTATAATAAACTTTTCATGCCATTAAATATTCTACATAATTTCAATAGCTACATATTATTTTATTATATGAGTATATGATAGTGAATGTAATCAATCTAATAATTTCAATAGCTACATATTATTTTATTATATGAGTATATGATAGTGAATGTAATCAATCTAATAACATTTGACATTTAAAATGTTTCACATTTTTTGCTATTACAAATGATGGCTATAGCTAAATCTTTGGCCACATTCTTTTTTTTTTTTTTTTTTT